AACTGTTAATCAAGGGGTTTTTGAAGCTTTGAGAACTACAAAGTTCAAACAACACTTTGAGAAAGCTCGGTGAATGCTACGAGTAATACATGATTTCTCTATGCAATGATATTTATGTTCTTGTTATGGTTAAATTTATGAAACGTTGCATGCAGATACATTATTTATTGTGAGTGTGCATGAACGTGGGCTTCAACTACACACCGTGATATTTGTGCCGTGTCGTTGACTCGCACGGTTGAACTGAGGTTACGTGGGACTATGATGGTTTGTATGGTGTAAGAGCGAGACAAGTGTATCTTGTTGTGCTTGTAATATTTTATCTGCAAGAGCATGACAAGCGTATTGTGTAAAAAAAAAGGGAAATGGTCGAGTTACGCATATATGCTAGATTTTCATGACCACTTGGGCATAGTTAATGAGTTATGAGACGGTTTGAATTAAATGCTGGTTAGATTTATGAGAAAACAATGTACGGTATTTTAAAATATGTTTGAAATGGGTCCCGAACTGTCGGAGAATTCGGTCCACCTGTCCCGATCGAGGACGGTGATTCCCCCATAAACCGGGAATAGGGATCTCTGTTTTGTTTCAAACCGAGGATGGAGATCCTCGTTTGTATCAAACCGGGGATGGGGACGGGGAAGGGTATCACACTTCCCGCCCCTCCCCGTACTCGTAATATATATTAATTAATGAATTATATATATATATATATATATATATTATTTGTTTAAAAGAAATTGTAATTCATAATTTCCTATTTCCTAACTAGATTTAGAATCTAAAATTGTTCTTTTTGATGTTAGTATATAATATTTTAGATGTCAAGTCAAAGTATACTTACTCGATCACGATGTATCTCGCTGCATTGCGCGAGTACGCTTCTAGTATTAATAATATTTTGTTACATGTGACATTAAGTTTTTCTTTAAGTAAATTTAATTTCTTTTGGTTTTAGGTTATTAGTAATTATATGATATGATTTTTTTTTGTATTAAATTAAATTCTTTTTTTTTTTACCAAATGCACCATCGGAATAGAAACACGATAAACAAAGAACAAAAATAGTTTTAGGGGTTGTTTGTTTACCTCTTAATAGTTCCATCAAGAGACAACCTCTGAATCGTTAAGAGGTTAATCTTGTTTGGCAAAAAAAAAGAATCTGTCTTTTAATGGTTCTAAAATCCTCTGAATGATGTTGTATAATGGATCTCACTTAACCATTAAGATCCCTAATTTCATTGTACACAATTACCAAACAATTATATTTCATTTTGCACTATATTATGATAGTCTTTTAATCATTCTGACCACTTAATCATTCTGCACTAAACCATTCAACAATTACCAAACAGTCCCTTAATTGAATTTGATGTTAAATAGATGAGTTCTTAAAGTCCAAAAGGATAAGTTGATTCCTTTCTTTTTCAAGTGTTAGAATTTTGGGAGGGGTGGTAGTGTAAAAAGCTCAAAATGAAAGGGATGGTAGAAATACTTCCACTTTAGCTGTAGAGAAAGCACTTTAGAATCTCATATTTGGTCCCTACAATTTAATGATGCGACATTACAGTCCTCGACATGACTTCAACACGTTAGAAGATTCTTCCACATTCGGATAAGAATCAGGTTCCATTCACTAGATTCATTATTTCTTTTCTAAAGAACTTTATACTTACGGTACTTTCGAATTGACATGTTATTTAAATAAACGTCACTGAGCCATAACTGATATCGTTGAAATACCCATCTGCAAAACTAACCTTAATAGAATATATCTGCAAAGTTTTGTTGCCTATTAAGACAAGATATTGTGTACAGTAGCATCTTTTTCACGATCATACTACTGAAAAACCTCTAGCAATTCTCGTAATACCGATCTCATTTACTATAGTTTATACTGCCTTACAATAAGGGCAAAAGCTGTATATTCTAAAGGAACAGATTCAGACGCTCTTTAAGTTCACTTGACAGCTTATTCATCATCGGTTTGATCTCCTTTTGATGGACCAAATATAAATACACATTGTTATCATATCACTTTCCATTTTTCAAATTTCATGTCAAATCACTTAAATAATACGATCGAGTTAAGAATTAGAATATCCATGATCATGACTATGTGAAACACCTTCTCCAATCGCCTGCATAAAGATTCTAAACGTCAACTAAAATACATGCATCGATCCAATTACTTTATTTCCACCACATATTTTTCTTCATAACCATGATTTTTTTGGGGAAACATTACAAAAGCTTTTCTGTTCGTTTCTAGTCAGTCTTTGATGATGGGTAAAGTTCTCCTTTAATAAAACCATTCATATTACAAAAAAACTATGTACGTACGTATGTATGTATGTATGTATGTATGTATGTATGTATGTATGTATGTATGTATGTATGTATGTATGTATGTATGTATGTATGTATGTATGTATGTACAAATATTTGATAGTTGTTCACATGGTGATACTACAGGTTTTTGGTTATAGGTTCTCATGAGATGCTTGACGGGTGTTCAAATTTAATTGTTGATTTTGTTCACAATACGTATCAAAGTCCTTACACATTTTTTAGGGATATGTTGTTTCATAGGTGAAACAAAACACTATATATGAAACATGGGTTTTGTTGGTCCCAAAAGGGTCTACAAGAATACTAAACAGGTTGTAGAAGGGGGGGGG